TGTACTGCAACCCCTGCTCCATGAGAGCTACCCAGACAAGTGGATGAAGTGGTCCACAGGGCAGAGCATTGGGATGGCTGCTGCTCTCTTACACTTTTTCATCAACCAGGGAAAAAAGGCTAATGGTGCTGACCTCTGTAAACTCCTTGGCAATGTATGAGTGAAAAGTATTGTGTCAAATTTAAGTGCTATGAGTTGTTATGAGGAAAAGGCTGACAAAACTGTGATGTGACCTCCAGCATTGCCTGTTTAGTATTAGCTTCCCATATGATGTGGGCAGACAGCACTTCTGAGAGCTGGAGTCAGCTGTGAAAGCCACAAAGCCAAGGGGAGTCTGGCAATATTAGGAAAGTAGTGAGAGAGTCCTGGCCTTGCTTGGTGTCTATGTGCTGGGAGAAGGCTGGACTCATAAGACAGTGACATGAGAAAATGTGAGTGCAAAAAGCCTCCTTGTGGGTGCTGTGGTTCTGCTCTGGGATAACTGCAGCTGTCCTGCCTCACAGGAGCTGTATAGCAGAAGATGAGGTTAATGCCAGCCTTGCCCTGCAAGCCTGGATGTCAGAACAGTACCAGGTCTCAGTGACAATGATCTCACCCTGTACCATCCCAGGCAGCTGCTTGGTGGCTGACAGGCTGAAAACAGCTCCAGCTCTAACATTGTTGGCGAGAGTTTGGTTGAAAACTGCTTTAAATCCTCTGTGGTGAGTCTGGTAGTGACACTCAGGGACAGGTTTCATTGCTGCTTTGCAGGATTTCAGCATCCTCTAACTTCCCAAAGACTGCCACTGCTGCTGTGCTCATGCTGTGCTACAAGCTCTGAGCAGGAGACCTGGCTGCATCTGAGCAGCAGAACTGCATGGTAACCACAGCAGCCCTAAAACCTGCTTCCTTTGCTGCTGTCGTAACCTAACCAAAGCAAGGAGACCCTTTCCCAGCTGCAATGATGATCTGTGAAAACACAGCATGCATAAGGTAGGCATGCAGCTGGAGATGCAGGAATACTACAGCTGGCCTGGCAGAAATGTGAATGGAAATATGTGTGTGAGAGAGAGAAGAAGCAACAGATCAAGGAGTAACAGAATGGGCTGCATTGATAACTGACTGCACTAGAATGTGTTTGCAACAAGCCTGACTGCCTGTGCCCTGATAAGCCTCACAAGGATGGCTTGTCAGGAAAAGGCCTGGGTGCTGATAAAGTGCAGACAAGTCCTTGGGCAGCAAAACTGCTCAAATAACAGAGGGATCACAGTAAACTCACAGCACATCCTCTGTGCAAGTTGTCCTTCTCCTTTCCCTGCAAGCAGACAGACAGTGGGAGCGAAGATACCCAAAATGAGGGGGGAGAAAAGGGCACTGAGCAGCCACCTGTTCTAGATAAAAGGGACTTCCAGGCAAAAGGATCACCCTGTGGTAACCATTAACTCCTGAAGAAGGCAAAAGACCTGCTCAAGAGTTTGTAGCTTGTCACTGAAGAGGAACCCAAGAGGTGCAGTGAGGATTTGGCACTTGGCACGCTCGGTCTCATCTCACAGAGGATCCTGCTGGAGCACCTCGGCGAGGTGCCTGTGAGTACAGGGGGAGTGAGAAAGAGTGGGTGAGAAAATGGGACCAAAACTATTTTTTTAAATTAACATTGTCTTCCTGTTTCATAAGGTCATGCGCTGTTGCTGCATTAATTTGCTGTATCATAGCTACATTAAACACTTCTCAATTCTTAAGCAAAACTTTCACATCTTTTTTCACTTATAACTACTAAGACCATCAGAGTTTAAGAAGCTTTTGTTTTGCTGTGATCAGTGTAGCAAAAATATAATCAGGCCTAAGTTGAGCTGTAAGAGGCCCTAAGGGCTGAACAATACTGGATAAAAATACCAGACAAAACAGGAGGGCAAGGAAAGTTCTCAGATGCTTTCAGTGATGGCAAGTGCAAAACTGAAACTACTCCTTAGCACTTTGACTTCACCATTCCCACCCAAAGTAAGTTGACTTCCCTCATGCCTGCGTAAAGGATGAGCAGGTCATGGCCCAGGAAGAGACCTACTGCTGAGAGTCATCTGAGTAAGATGCTGTGGGAGCCCAGCCAGTTTATAAATGGATTTAAGGCTAGGGTTCCCACATCTTTTCTGAGGAGACAGCCCCAAAGAGTTACTGTACAGCTTCTATTTCTCCTTCAGCTGCTAGCCTTCATTTCCATATTTCACATCTCTTTAAGTGAGCCCCATCTCTTTGGGATCAAATCCTGCTTTCTGTTAGTGTTGTTTGCCTTATGAGCATCTAAAGTTTGAGTTATTTTTCTCTTGTTTATCTTTTTCTGAGTTTAATTGTTTCCTGTAAAAGACGGTGGTTTCCGTAGATACCTTGGACATCATTTATCTCTCCTTCCTGGACATACAGTTCCCCCCAATGAATTACACAACAATTTGCCATATCTGCTTGAGGCCTTGGTTTCTTCATCCATATCACTGCTATACTGAGCATTTAAACTGTTGTTTTAACATGTCATCTTGATAAGCTGCTTTCTTCTCTTTACAGAGCTTTCAATCCACATGATGGAACTCTTGTCCAGACAGTTTTAAATTCAAAAATGGTACATTGCATGTCTATTTTAGGATTTTTTACTGATAATTGTTGGAAACTTTAGCTCAGCTTTTCTCTGCTATGGGCAACTGTTAAACAGAACAGTGTTTTGTTATTTTTCTTCCCCTCCCTCCCGCCCCCTTGAGAAATGTTATCAAAGAACAAAGTCTGGCAAAGTATTCGGGATTGGTATGCTCCTAAATGAGAGCTGAGATAGCAATGATGTTGTTCTTCCAGACAGCTCTAGCGTGAGTTTTCTCCCCTTATCCTGGCTCTACCTTGTCAGGGAGGAAAGCTTTTGTCCTGGATTGCAGAGGTGGATGCTGATGTGAGTCATTCCTTGGTATTTAGTGGTGAGAAATTAGAGCACTATCAGTCTCCCCAAATCCTAACAGAAACAAAAAAAAAATCTGGACATGGTGTAAGTTATGCTTTCTTGGGTGTATTTTGCTCTTATCAGGCTATTCAATGCACAAGTGGGGCTGTTCTGCTGATTCAGCATCACAAGAAATGATGCCAGGGCAGCTCCAGGCCACACTTAAGGAATTACAAAGGAGACCATTAGAGTCACAAGTTTTCTCTTTAGCTGATTTATAAATGGATTTGTTTTCTCTCTTGCTCATTTGTCCCAGAGCTGTTAATAAATAACCTTTTCAATGTCCCTGCACCTGCAGGAGATGTGAGGTAAATGTGTGCTCATGTGAAGTTGCTTCAAGCTCTGCAGCTGGGCTGGAGACCCTGTGGATGGAAGGTTGGCTCTGGCTTGAGCCTGGTACCTCCTATCCCAAGCCAGAGGAGAATGGTGCTGAAAGGGGCTGCGAAACACAGTGGCTGCAGGGAAGCAGCAGACCTGTAGCTCTTTTTTGCATGGGCCCGGGGGATCTGGACAGAGGGGTGGGCTGCTCTGACTGCCTCCTGTACCTATGCTGCCTTATCCAACATATTTCATGCTTGCATTTTGAATTATTTGAGGCAAGAATAGTGGGGAGAGGGAAGATTAATGGAGACACACAAACTGAAGGCCAAATTATGGCTTGATTATAAATGGGTTTCTTTCCCTGAGCCTAATTCTTCTTTCAGGAATCACTGCACATCCCAGTAATAAGTAATCTGAACTTTAGAGATTAATAGCATTCTGTGCCAGCCCATTCATCCAGCAAAACTCCTTTGCTGTTTTGTTACATGTCAGTATGAGGTTCCAGCCTTTTCAAAGTGCTCCTCTGACCATGAAAATTTAGATTCATATTTACCTTACCTTTGTAACTTCCAAGAACTATTTCTTCGCTTATGCTCGGGAATTTTGTCAAGGCCTGTGCCCCGCAATAGCCTTTGATCCCATGTTTCTTACCATTGGTTGTCACTAAAAATACCACAGGGTAATTTGTTTCCTGCTATTTGAAATGGAAATTGTAGGAGCATGAGGAACAGAGAATTATACTCATGCCAAATATCATGAGCTGAATTCTCCTCGTGGTTTGTGGGAATCCTAATTATTAAAGCTGACCTCTGAGAAATCAGTATATTTTTCCACAAGGTCTAGAGAGTGGATGTGCTTCTCAGCAAGAAAAAGAAACTATTCCAGCTGTTTCTTGTCCTGTGTTCTGCAATGAGGAATGGAGATTGCAGTGCTGACAGCTGAAGGTAAAGGGGTGAGTTGGGAAGTGTTTAAGCAGAGTCCTGTCTTTTTTTATGCATGCAGCCCTAACCCTGGCCTGCTGAAAGGAGGCAGCAGGGCTGCTGCCCTGCCTGAATAGCAAGGGGTCTTCGCTTCATCTGCTGGGATTAGTTGCACAGGGAAGGTGCCTACAGCATTCTCTGCTGCAAATGGATGCTATGAATGTTAAGGGAGGAAAAACTCACTGGGTACCTTATAGGACTGAGAAATGCTCTTTTAAGACAGCAAACAGATATGCTGGAAATCACAATACTAAGGGGTGGCACAACCTGGGTACAGGCAAAATCCCAGGCACAGTCAGGAACTGCAGCTTATGCACTCGCATGTGGGACTGCTGTGGAATGGGCATCACCCCAGGGGCCTTGCCAGTGGCTCTGCTGATGCTGCACCAGCTTGGAACAGTGTTTGTGTGTTTGTGATCAGTCTCCAATGGTTTTTGGTCCTGAATGGGAAGTGAAACTTCAGGAGAAGCGCTGGTTGCTTTTCGGTGCAGAAATCACAGAAATCGTTGGGCAGCGCAGGCAGCGGCCCCGCGGCTGACATGTGGCACTTTGGGCAGCTCTGCTGTTTCTTTTGGAAAGCAGGGAAGCGAGCCCCTGAGGGCAGTAATGTTATTCAACACACAATGTGATCCCAGGAGTCTACAGTTCAGAGAAAAACATCCTTGAGGTGTGGTGAGAGGCTTGGTGGCCTCAGCCTCTTCGGTTGCCTGTGGAGAGGGCACACAGGAAAATTGGGGACTGTTTTGCCACCACTTGCTAAGTGCAGAGCAAGCTGTGGATGACAGGGTGTTTGGATCTCTTGCCTCTGCAGTCATTCCCCATCAGAACCTCCTGTGGGGCCTTGCAGCATTTACAAACCTCAGGACTTTTTGTTCTCCAGGAAGTTTCTGAAATTGCTGGCCCAATGTGGGTGTTGAAGGGCGGAGTGGTTGTTCTGGAGGCTGTTTCCTCTCTCTTTTTCATAATAACTTGTACATCCCCCTCATGTGTGTGTGGTTGATAGGACACAGGAAAGGGTGGGCTGTGCTGGGTTAGTGATGTGACTCACACATCACCCATCTTCCAGGGTAAGCAGTGGTCCTGCTGTCCTCAGCAGCAACCACAATTAAATAATTACACACAATAGCTGCCCGAGGCTGAACAGGGGGCAAGAGACCAAAGCAAGTGAAGATCAGTGCCTGTCACCAACCAGGATGCTGGGGACAGAGACAGGAATGGCTTTCTATATAGGACAAGAAAAGCTGATATGATGGTGGATTTTAGTGAAAGACAAAGCAATTTCTCAGAACTGAAGGTGAACATCTCACAGTTTGCAATGCATTACTTCTAGCTCAAGAGAAATGTATGTTGACCCCAGTCACAAGAGAAAAAGAGGAATTTCTATGAGAGTTTCAAACTATTATAAAAGCAATGCACACTTATTCTGTGTCAACAATGTCTAGTAGCTCTTAAAAAAAGTAACATCACAAAGTAAAAAATACTTGAGCCAAATCAGCAGAGTATTTAAAAAGTGAAAATAGGAATGCTAATAAGAAGCAACCCATTCTCTTTTTATTTCATTCCACAAAAGCCATAATCCAACTGTTGAAAGTTATGTTAATTTGAAAATAATAAAATCTCTTAAAGATGCATATTCAGAGGCAATAAAAGAAGATAAAACTAGTGCAAATTTAAAGTTGGAAAGTGAAAAAGATGGTCAAAAGAATCATAAGGAAAAAATCATGGCCAGGGAGTTAAGAAAAGAAAGAAGAATGTAAGTATCTTGAGCACAAGCAGAAGCTTGGCAGCACTGTTAGACCATTGCAAGTCTGTGTATTCAAACTATCAATAATGACAAAGCTGAAAGGTGTCAGTGCTTGATGCATCTTTTTTTTCCCCCCAAAATGACAAACAAATGCCTCCACATCATGTGATAGTTAAGCATGTTCAAGCAATAATTTAGCTGATAAGCTGGGGAGTAGGGGAAGCCCCCTTGAGCTCACTGGATATTTTCTGGTGAAACTTCAAGCTTTGTGGATAATGGCAATAAAACTTCTGCAGTTAAAATATAGCTTTGATGGCTAGTAGGAAATTAATACCAGAGGCTTCCTGACAGGAAACTGATGTAACTGCTAACAGGTTTCTCTTCTGATTTGAAAAACCTCTTTGATGTGAGAATTGTAAAGAAATTAGTATAAGTACAAGGAAGATACAGGCTTAGAAGTCCAGTAGCCATCATACAAATGTGAAAAAAACAATCTAAAAGTCATTGTGTCAGCAGCATCCTGACACTTGCCGATTGTATTTAAAAATATTGAGTATCTGGGTCTGACTGCTGTGATGCAAGCCAGAAAAATACCTTTGTGCAGAGAGATTACTTAATGAGCAGGCATTGGGAAGGCTTGTGGGGGCAGTATATAACACCAGGGAGATGGGCTGTGAGGCCAAGGTGGGAGGGGATGTGAGTGCCTTGCAGGGAGCTGGGGAGGCTGAGCACCATCCCCAGCCCTGCTCCGTGGGAAGGTCTCTGACAGAGGAACCTGCTTTGTGTGTGGTGAATGGGGCACTTGTTGGTGTGGCAGTCTGGGCCACTGGGGCTCGTGGCCAGAACCCCTGGGCATCACCTCTCCAGCAGTAGCTGCACTGCAGGGCCACAGGGCTGCCCGGGCACAGAGCCCCTCTGCGCTGCGGGCAGCTGTGCAGGGGAGAGAAATGTCTGCTGCCTGCTCCTTTGGATCCATCTCTCTCTGCCCAGCTTTTGCTGCCTCCAGCACCCAGCAGCTCTCCAGGATTTCCACGTGCTTTTCTTTTTTCCAGGAAAAGAGGGCTCATTCAATGTGTCTTGTGCAATTTCCCAGGGTGTATCCCAGCCACAACACTAAAAGCAGCAAAAGGATGAGGCACTCCCACACCAAGCAGTGCTGCACACGTGGATAGCACCCAGCAGGGTGGCTGCCGTGGCTGAATTATGTCTGAACAAAACCCAGAGCTTTGTTGGGCAGAGGAGGACCTTTGTACAACTGCATCTCTATCCCACAGGGAGAGCATATGCACTGCACTGGCTTTGCTGACAGTGTAACTTATGAGTGCATTGTCCCCTTTTTGCTGACTCCCCTCCTTCTGAACCAAGGAAACGGAACTGGGAGAAAATCCAGGAGCCACCCTCATCCTGAGGCAGGACTGGCTACGCCAGCGCTGGCAGACAGAAATGTCATTTTTCTGAAGACAACTAATGAGCCTTCTCTACTCTTCTTTTTTGCAAACTTGACAATTCAATTCCTTCAATCTTTCCTCACAGGTCAAGCTTTTAAGCTTGTGATCTTTCTTGTTGTCTTCTGGAGTTTCTCCAAGTGGTGTCCATCTTTCCTGAAAGGCAGTGTCCAAAATTGGTCATAGAACCTCACAGGAGGATTTACCAGCTTTAGATGGAGGGTAGGATTACTATAAACTGCTGTAGCTGCAATACCATTTTCTCTGGAAAAGCCACTTAACAGATTGCTCACCACACTGTGTTTGGGTGATGGCTCTTACCTAAATGTCATATTTGCTTTTGTCCTTAAGTGAGTTAGATGTTCTCACCAGGCTCTCACCTATTTGTCAAATTCATTTTCAGTTCCCGCCCAATGTGTCAGTGTGCTTTGCTCCCAGCCTGGTGTTATCCCAGCTACAGACACACTCTTTATCTTCCAGCTCACTAATGCACAGGTATGTGTGCACATGGGACAGTTCAAGCTGCCAAGCTGTATAGCCCAAATTCATGGGACTCTGAGGGTTTTGAGACATGTAGGGATGCATGATTTCAGTATCAAATGTCTCTTGAGAGACAGCATCCAAAAAACCCATTATACTGTTTGGATTATCAGTTTCACTGACACTTCAATGTTTGTACTTCAGCACTGACAAGTATTTCATCTGGAAAAATATAACCCAGTAAATGTGTATTTATTATTCTACATAGCACTACAAGGAAGGGCAGAGATCACACCAGTATTTAGGCTACAGTCTTTGCCATAGGAATAATTAAAACTTGGAGCAGAGTCACCCGCACTGTTCCATGTAACAGTTGCAAAAAGTGATGTAAAATCCTGATCTGCAGCTTGAATTCTAATTTCAGCATGGTGAATATCTTGTTCTGGTACTTTGAAATAAAGCCCCTTATACCAAAGCCATTGACTTTCTGTATATGTGCTTGTTTGTAAATTCTAAGACAAACCTGAGCCTCTTGACAGCCTAAGAAAAGAATTTTCCAGTATGCTGGCCTGAAACAGGTGGTTTACATTACTTTGCAGCAAAGTCTTCCTAGGTAACTTGGATACAAGCATATTTACATGCAAAAGGCAGATGAAGAATGAGTAAGAAGTCAGCTAGGGACAGGGAAAATTTCATTAAAGGGTTGATAAATGAAGCAGTGTGGCTCTTCTGAGTGTTTATGCACTCAGATTTTTGGTTGTGCTGAGTCTGAAGACAGGAGTGCCTTTTGGGTAATGTGCATCAAACCCTGAACCCTGCAAGTTCAGTAACCTCACAGAGTAATCAGTGAGGTAATTTCAGGCAATTCAGCCTGAAAAACTTCATGACTACTGAAATCTCATTTTCATTCACCAGGAGGATGATGTGTGGGTCTCCTCTCCATGTTGAACAGCAGCACTGACTGCTCCCCTACCATCACTGCCAGCAGAACTCCACAGACATGAACTCCTGCAGTTAGAAAATATGCCCAGATGCATCACCAGAGCCCCTCTCTCCTGGGTGGGTTTGCTGAGTTTGCATGAGAGGTTCTGGGTTGACTTAGCACAGCCTGGGATGGTGGAGGACCATGTTTCTGAGGTAGTGCAAGTCCCCACCTCCCTTCATTTAGGCTGGGACTGTATCATCTCCTGTGGAATGGGTTCACTGCTGTGCAAGGCCAGTCTCCTTGCAGCTCTGGTAAGAATGCTCAAGAAAAACATAAACATGTAATTCTATATGTAGAGAAGTGATGCTGGACTCTTTAGATAGACAGAAAAGACAAAAAAAAAATCCAGAAAGGATAATTTCTTACAAATTGACTAAGAGAATAAATTCTCTTAGGACTGGGCATTTCAGAAGTTGTGAGATAGAAGTGGAAGCCAGACAGAGAGAATAGACTGACAATAAATAAATTAGGGCTGAAAATGGGAATATTTGTGACCACAAAGAGAAGAGCTGAGGGGGTAAAGGTGATGGTGGGAACTGTCTCTGTCAATGTGGCATTTATGCAGTGGAAGAGGGATTGCCTTGCAGTACAACCCCTTGTGATCCCTTCTGTAACAGACTGAGCATGAACATCCAAATGAAAGATCAAACATCAGCTTTATCTGTTGTGCAAAGTCAGAGCTTACAAAAATATTTGTATTTATTAGAGATGATGGGTTGCAGTGGGATTGTCTGAACCAAGCATGGCTTTGGTCTATGCACAGCATCTTTTCTGCTTGACATTCCTAATGTCATTCCTTAAACAAGCCTTAGTTTCTGCTTATTGCATGTCTAAAAACAGCTGTTTGCCTGGCTCCTTTTAACTTTTGTTAGTAAGTCTTGTTTGGTGAGAAGGGAGTTGAGGGTGGGCAGTCCTGGCTGTGAGTGACATCTCTTGGCATCCAGAGATGCTTTTGATTTCATGTCGTTTGGCTGGAGGGGTCATTTCCTACTTGTCTTGAGCTCTGCAAGACACAGGAGTCAAATCTACTTCCTTGCTTCCACACAGAGCTGCCACCCACGCTGGTGTGGTCCTCCCTGCTTATTCACTAATAGCAACAGGGTTTCCACAGCAAAATTGCTGCTACCTGGAGTGACTGACAACATCCTCCCATTTCTCTGTCTTGGAGACAGAAAGGATGTTAGATCTGTTCCTGTTTTGAGGCCATCACTGGATGGAACCAGTGGTAGCCCCCACAAAAAAGCAAGAGACCAAAATTGGAAACAGAGATGCAGCTGGGCTGTGCTCCAGCATCTGGAGAGTGCTCAGTGCCTGTGCAGGCGGGCAGGGCTCCAGCAGCAAGCAGCTCTGAGCTCTGAGAGGAGAAAAGCAGCATCATTTCTATGCCTACTTAGGGCCCTATGGGATGTTTTAGTCAGTGCACACAGTGGGCAGGGTGGGAGAAAGAGTAGAGATCTGTCTCTGCTTGGATTCTGACTGGGCACAGGGACAGAAGATCGTGTCTGCTTAATCTTTAGCTGAGGAAAACTGCTAGTGGAAGAAAAACCCTGGGGCCTGGAAATCAGTCATGTACTGCTCCACTTGGTGGACACTGAGGAGTGTTTGCATGGCATTCAGCAGTGTGAATGTGAAACTCTAAGCAGCTGGAGGAAGCTGGAATAGCTTAATTCTTTAGCCCCTGCAGAACCTGCAATTTCACCTAGAGCTGATGGAGATAACCAAGGGCACATAAAAGGAAACTTATTGAAATACCTCACCTTTCTGAACAACCAGCAAGTGAAATTTACCTGCATTGAATTCTTTAGACAGATTTGGAGTGTTGGTTTTTGTTTGAATTTTTTAAAATAAGTTTGTCTTTTTTTAAACAAGTCTGTCAAGTGTTCAAGTCTGTACACTTTGAGTGCTCTTTGGAAGGCTATTACTTTGTTACACTACCTTCTGGATTATGCTTATCACCTTGTACCTTTTCTTGTGTGTAATATTTCAATACAAGACTTCTTGGTAGTATTAGAGGTCACAGAGATAGATGGTTTGGTATGGGATAAAGCAATGAAGTCACCCAGCTACAAACTCCAGAGTCCTGAAAAGTGCTCATGATATTGAACTAAAATTCAGGCAAAAGTCATATTCAGGGTTAAGAAAACAATGTGCCTTGGCAAAAAAATTACTGATCTCAGGCTACAGGTGGGATGAAGACAATTATCATTATGCCTCTGCCTTCACACAAGAGATTTCTAGTTTATAATTAGGATGGTCCATTACAGTGAGAACAATATTCCTGCTTTGCTGCCAATGCTGACACTCTCAGAGTGTGGCTGCTGAAAAGATACAGCAGTCTGACAATACCCATCACAACAGGAAATCTGAACATCTTAGAACTTGTGCAAAGTCACATATCCTTAATTCCTATGACTGCAAACACGTAACAAATTCGTTCATGGTTGTCTCTAGGCAAGATCTCAGAGGAAGGGTGGCAATAATTATGTGGTTGTGCTGGGCAACTGTCAGCAGCAGTTTCAATTTTCAGGCACGCTAACTTCATATCTATATTGTGCAGCTAATTTTACATTATAACATCTGCTTTAATTCATTTCTCTAGGGTTGAAATAACTTTGTTCAATGTAGACATGCTCAGTGCTATGATAACCTGAGCCAACTACTCTCTACAATGAGAAGGAAGGTCTCCCAGCTGTCATGCTCTGCAGTTTCTAATCACTTCAAGCCCTGAGTTCTGGGTGTTTTTGAATAGAGTTGGATAAAATACATTCTTACTTCCTACTGTCTGGTATGTGCACTAGGCTATTTTTTTAAGCTGCATTCTTGGAGATACTGGCAAGCATGCTGACCCTCTAATAGGCACTCACAAAGTGCAAATGTTACAAGCTTCCAGATTTCACAGTTAACCTCAGCAGATTTACACAGAGAGAACACAGAGCTCCAGGTCAGTGTTACATTCCCAGTGGGCCTGTCTGTGGTATCTTCAAAGCGAGCTCTCCTGGCCCTTTTAGGTTCCATTTTCCCTAGGAAGGTAAGAAGATGTTATTTGCCTATAGTTAGAGACTTCCAGAGGTGTGTTGCTTCTTTTCACTTGGGCTAACTTCTAGAATAACTTGAGGATTTAGGGTCATTTGTAAGGTCAAGTAACACTGTATAGTTCCGGAACCTGGGACTGCTTCTCACATAAAACCAGAGCAATTAGAAGCTGACCCTATTGAGAAAATGAATGCTTTTCATATTTGCCTACTTGATATGAAGTGCCAGGATGGATTTGGCACATTAATCTGAGTTTGGAGATTGATGTGATTGTCTGCACTGAGGTATTGCCATCCTGAATGACTGTAATGTACTTCTAAACATCTCCTGGAGTATTTGTGTAGAAGGAAAAGAGAAACTATTTCCCATGCAAGTCAGATGATCAGTGCTTTTGAGCATGGAGCATCACTGTTGGTGGAAATGGATTTCATGTCATAGTGGGAGTACATATGTCCCCTGGAGCTATTTGTTTCTTTTAAGTGTTGACTTTACATCAAATTTATAAATCTGGAAAATACACTGATACCCTTTCTAGAGTTTCATGTAGTAAGATGGTATTTTATTAAACAGTTGCACAACTGCCCAAGTCTAAATGGTGAAATGAGGTTTTGGCTGTGGGATATATAAAGGATTATCCAAAACAGAAAAATTTGACAGACAGCATCATGCTAGCCACTAACAAGTGCAACTATATGTATATTGGCTCTGAAAGCTCAGATGACATACTGGTTGTGGATGATTTTCATCAGCTATAAGTGTCCTTTTTTTACAGAATTCTATTGCTAACCATGTATATTAAACCACAAAAATCTTAATTTGTTAGATAGGTTATCCCAAATATGCCTGTAACATTTAAGGAATTAGAGTGGTACAAGTTCTGTAAAGTGTGTGATTTATCTACTGTGCCAATTCTGCAAACACAGGTCATTCATAACCTGGTGGGCAAAGGCAGATATTCATAAGGTAAAAAGGACTACAGGAACATGCCAAAAGGCATGCCTTTGGGGTGTGAGAAAAGATGGGCTACTGGGATAATAACATCCTTTTTCTTCTCTAGTCACAGGTACCAAACCAAAGATGTCCTCAACAAGAATGATTCTACTCATCCTGGCATTCCTCTCTACTTTGGCTGTAATTGCTTTAATTGCTGTAGCAGTGACCCAAAACCAGCCACTTCCGGAGAATATTAAGGTATTACAAGCTGGTACCTTTAGAGGAAAACAAGCTGGGGGGTTAGGTATCCATAGTGCTCACAGACATGTTGCTGCCCTTGCTGGCTCTGGCTAACCTCTTTTTCTGGCTCCATGCACCTCAACATCTTGTTTTGCATCTTTGTGGTAAAAGCAGTTACAGCTTCACGGGGAATCATCTCTTCAGTAACCAGTCCCAGCTTTGCGCTTTCTCTGCTCCTGTTTCCTTTGCCGGGAGCGTTGCACTGAAGCTCTGCTGAGAGGAGCAATGGCACACATTCCAGAGCTGGCAGACAGAGGGGCTGTGTGTGTCTGGTCCCCTGTGTGGAGGCCAGCACACAGCACGTCTGGCTGGTACCTCAGGTGTGATATGGGCTCTGCTTTGCCCGCAGTATGGGATCGTGCTGGACGCGGGATCATCCCACACCAACCTCTACGTGTACGAGTGGCCAGCAGAGAAGGAGAACGACACTGGGGTGGTGAAGCAGGTGGAGGTGTGTAAAGTTGAAGGTAAGAAGAGAAGAAGGAACTGGGGAAGGGGCATGGGATGAAGAAGAGATAATGTAATAAAAAGGTGAGGGAGGCGAGAGCTAAAGGAAGAAGCCAATAATAGAAACAGTGTTCCACCTGTGAGATAATGCATCTCACTGGTTCCTATGGGGAGCTGTATATGCCTGACCTTCCTGGGGAGAAAAATGGGTCCACATTTTCCTCTGTTTTCAGGATGCTTGGAATTAATCACTTTTTGGAAAGAACTACACCAAAGAATGTACTTAAATAAATAAAATGTCAGCATGCACTCTTGCTGAAGTGCTGATGAAAGCAATGAGAAAGGACAGCATGGTTTGCTCTTTTTCAAGGCTTCTGTGCAAGCTATGCACAGGGCTTGTGGCTTCAAGGTTGCTCAACTTATGCATATCATGGCGCTTTTTAAATTCTATTTAATTGCTGTGTAGATACAGGATGGTTTAGGAAGGCATAAATGAAGTCCAGAGGTGCGCACAACAAGGAACAGCAAAGACCATCATGGATTGCTATATTGGGAGGTGTTGTCAGACCTGCCTGGGGTCTTTCCAGGCCTCTGCAGTCCAGGAGAGAGCCCTCCTGTTATGAAGCTGCTGTGATAGCTGCTCAGTGCTGCAGCACGCCACATCACGAGCAGCACACTGAGCATGCAGCAAGCTGGAGCAAATGGGGCTTCCCTGCTGCCATGCAGGCACTGGTCCTGGGCCAGTCCAGGGAACAGGCAGACACGTGGCAGAGGAGGGACAACGATTTTTTCCTTGGGTTAGAACAAGACACAATAGCTGCAGAACACCCAGTGTTGTGGTGTGAGTAGAAAGTACACAAACAAATGACAGCATCTGCCCCCCGAGGAGGCAGCATGGAAGGGTCAGGGATTTTCAGGCGCAGATCCAGGGTACACCCAGGCAGACTCAGAGGAGGGTCTGCAGATGTTCAGGGCATGCGAAAGAAATGGCTTGTCTCAGCCTTCTTTGCTAGTGCATAGCCTGCTTTGTGGAGAAAGGGTGGCAGATGCTGGGCACTGTGACCACCCACTATGTGCATTGGGCTTAGCTGCTGCTGTAGGATTTCTAAAGCTCCTCAGAAATGGGGTGGTTGAATCCGATCCTGCTGCCTATGATATGGTTTAACACCCCCACTCATGACAGCATTCTGGGGTTTTGTTGGAGTCTGAACTATAAAGTGTCTTTGCTTCTTGCAGGCCCTGGGATCTCAGGTTACTCCCATGCCCCAGAGAAGGCAGGTCCCTCTCTGGAACAGTGCCTACAACAAGCAAAAGAGGTGATTCCCTCAGCACAGCACAAAGAGACACCCGTCTACCTCGGAGCAACTGCTGGCATGCGGCTTCTCAGGTACTGCAGGGCTTGTCCCCCTCTCCTGCAGCACTGCACCTGGGATTGCCATGGATGTGCAGTGGGGACATCTGGGGAGCAGTCCTTGGACACACTGCTGGCTCACACTGTGCCCAGATATGCTCCTCTGCTGCTGACCCTCTGAGCCCCGAGTCCCCTGGACTTTTCCATTGCTTCCCCATTCACCCCAACTCTCCATCATCTCCTGCATCCACATGCAGCACAGAGACACCGGGAGATCAGCAGTACCCCGACATCCCTGTAATAAAAGGATGATCAAACATCCCCACAGTTTGGTATTAGGCCCAGATTTTTGAGCCCAAATATGTTGCAACTCCCCACAGAGGGGCATCAGAGGCTAAGGTGATTTTCTAATCACATCCTTCTTTAATTACAATTTGTGATTTTCATGAGGGTTACCCAGACTTCTCCTGGCTAGGGCAGGGAACTGATCTTTGTTACATATTGCCTGGGAAATCTTCCTGGAGATATCTTCTGGATTTCTTCTATAATGGTGACAGAGAAGAGTGAGAGGAGTCTCCACAGTGAGACCAACTCCTGTCAGAATACATGCTGCAGAACAAGAACTCTAGTCTCTGCTCCAAGTACCTATCATTCCCAGCTGCAGGGGCTGTAAGTGTCAGAGCTGGTGGCAGCTGTGCTGTCAAGGTGTGACAGAGAGCACCATGGCCAGCTAGAGCTGGATTATTCACACTAATGACTAACCTCTGATCATTGACACTTGGTGGGGAGTTGCAGCCTTCCTACTCAGATAAAGCACATAGCGAGCTGTCAGCCAGAGTTACTCCACCCTTTCTTCTGTTCATCCAGGTTGCAGAATGAAAGTGCAGCTGACAAAGTCTTGTCCTCAGTAGGAAACACACTACGCTCAGCTCCCTTCAACTTCCAGGGTGCCAGAATCATCACTGGTCAGGAAGAAGGAGCCTATGGATGGATCACCATTAACTACCTTCTGGGCAATTTCAAGCAGGTAGTATGTCTATAGCAAGACATTTGAATCATTGGCTTGCAGCACTTTGTAAGTCCTGCCTTGCAAGAAGGTGTCACAGGCACTCTCTTCCCTTGTAAGCCATTTACCAGGGATCAGGAAGCTGCACATCTTGCCTCAGCAGTTGCTGTGAGTACATCCTGATACTTAGTGGTATCGGGATGCACCACTATAATTAGGCTTCAAGCACTGAAATAAAACACCAGCATGTTCAATAATTTTGCTTGGGTACAGCATCCTTCTCACTTTCTGATCTAAAATATTTCTGTTTCTGAAAAGTTTGACTATGGTTCTTTCCTGTTTAGCTTATAAACCTTCTGAGAGCTGAAACAGTAAGCGTACTGCTTTTTCTCATAACAATAGTATTAGATTTCATATTCTTTGCCCTCCTGCAAAGACTTAGATATGATCCATCTTCTGTATTTACAAGTTTGCATTTTTCTTATGTCTTGCTCCAGCTCTCATTTCATGCCCCCTCCAGGACTTCCCATGTTTCCCATGTTCTGTGCTTCTGCTTCTCTCCTCATAGCTTTCTCTTTTTTATTTATCCAAAATAAATCTTCTCCATGCCAAATATATCTGGTTTACTTTGATTTTTTTTCCCCCAAGTCTGGCTGGAAAAAGCTTCTACACTCCCTGAAATCTTTAAGTGAGACATCAGGAGCACTAGACCTTGGAGGGGCCTCCACACAGATTACCTTTGTATCAAAGGAGCTCACTTCTGAGTCCCCAGAGAACCAGCTCTACTTCCGTCTCTATGGCAAGGATTACCAAGTGTACACGCACAGCTTTCTCTGCTATGGGAAGGACCAGGCTCTGCAGCAGAAACTGGCCAGGGATCTACAGGCAAGTACATCTACACCTGTAATTGAACAATCCTGGGCTCTCCCAGCTTTGGGATACTGGTGCTGCAAAAGTTGCTGTGTCCCAGCTCACCTCTTAGTCTGGATTGAAAAAATGTCATTGTTCTCAATACAGACTGGGCATGAGGTGCCCAAAGAGGTGACAGTCAATACTTTCAAAAGTACTACCAATTTGAGATGCCTTAATTCTTGGGCATGGAATAGCAAGAGAACTGCATTTAACTGAAGTACTCAGGGGAGGTGACATTTTACCATCTCTGAGAAACCCAAATCAACAGCACAGCTTCACAACCTGTGACTTGAAATAATTTGCCCAGGGTCCTACAGGGAGGCTGTGGCAGTACCCACATCTTCCCCTGTACAGCCAGTGCCTTAAGCCATCCTTATCCCTTTGATCTGATGTGTGCACCTGGATGTGATGTACTGTGACAAGGGCCACCCTTCCTTGTGATTCTTCCCCAGGGTGCTATTCTAGAGCGAAGTATAACAGCTTGGATTTTTATTTTCAGACTGTGGAGAACAGCCTTCTCCCTGACCCATGCTTTCACAAGGGTTATGAGAGGACTATAAATATTAGTGACTTCTTCAAAAACCCTTGCACATCAGAAAAGAAAACGCAATTACCTTTCAGCCAGCTGTACATAAAGGGAGAGGGGGACTATCAAAAGTGCCGAGAAAATATCCAGAATCTCTTCGACAAAAGCAATTGTCCTTACTCCAGTTGCTCCTTCAATGGGATATACCTACCTCCATTACAAGGGGATTTTGGGGTGAGTCTTCACTCATTATTCAACTATCTGTGATCCAGAATGTCAGAAGAGCAGAAATTCAAAGTAATGCCAGAGCGCATTCTTATGACTGAGGCAGGAAATAATTTACAAGACGACTTTCTGGACATGTAACTACAAAGTAGTGCTGCACTTGCTGTGAGGACAGATGTGCTAAGAGCTACCCCAGTAAATACTGGCCTAGTAGTACTGCACTGCTCCCATTCTAACCCATCTCCTTGGGCTGCTGTGTTTACTCACTTTTTAAGCTGTCCAGCACCAGAGGCAGGAGAACCTGCTGCAGGCAGGAACACTGCTCCTGCAAACCCTGTCTTCTGAGGTCAGTGGTGGCACCAGACCTGAAGTTCACCCAGAAGTGTCTGAGTGCTACTGAAACCAGTCAGCTCACCTATCTTCTTGCCAGACATGAGGACACAGTGCACACTCTGAACACACATTATGTGTGACACCATGCTGACCATCAGTCCTAGAGCTGCAAGAGCTGCTCAGTGATTGTGAGGCTTTCCAGGGAACAGCTAATACAATCTTGCCCTGTTCCTAAGATGCTTCCTACCTATCAGCTACTGGCCATGATCAGAAATAGAGTCTCTGGACCTCAGGGCTCTGTATAATCCTTTCAGACCATCACCTCTGCTCTTTGTGGTGATATTGTTTGCATACTAATCTTACTCAGTTGCCAAAATGGGATCATGGTTGTGATGGCAATCAGTGTTCACTGTGTGGCACTGGCACAAGTAAAGGAGAGAGCTCCTTTAGAACAGAAGTTCTTCAGGATATCATAATTCCTACCTCCATCTCTCAGCAGCTCTGAGCCGTATGTCTAAAAATGACATCACTCTTGAAAACATTCCTGCTCTTTTGTGTGTGATGTTGCTTCTTATATTTCTCTATCTAGAAATAAACTGATTTTCTTCTGTGGGATTTGTGGCCTAGTCAGATTAAAATAATCTTTCTCCTTTAGGCTTTTTCTGCTTTCTATTTTGTGATGAACTTTTTGAACCTGACCAGTGAACCAAACCCCCTTGCTCTGAACAAAGTGACCAGCACCATTGAGCGCTTCTGTGCCCGGCCTTGGCAAGAGGTGAGCCATGCTTGTTGCAGTAGACTGGGGCTCCTGATACTTTTCTGTGGGATAAATGGTTGGGATTAATCTCCAGAGCAAAATGGGGAAGATCCCCTCAGCACCTGCAGCGGATGCTCAGGCACAAGCTGGAGCAGTAGGAAGGTGTGTTTAACAGTCTGGTGATTGCCTCCTTCCCTAGGTGAAGACAGCATATCACCACATCAAAGAAAAGTACCTGAGTGAATACTGCTTCTCTGGAATCTACATCCTCTCTCTCCTGGAAAATGGCTATGAGTTCACTGAAAACAACTGGCAAATGATCCACTTCCTTGGAAAGGTGTGTTTCGTTGAGGGGAGGGCTCTACCCCAGCAGTTCTCTGCAGCCTCTGCCACACAGCCTGGCCCTTTATCCCGAGGGGTGCCACTGCTCAGGCAATGCCATAGGCAGCCTCTCAGCACTGATTCTGCTCTTCTGTTTCAGATTGAGAGCAGTGATGCAGGTTGGACCCTGGGCTACATGCTGAACCTGACCAACATGATCCCTGCAGAGGAGCCAGCTGGGCCCCCCCTCTCCCACGGCAGCTACGTGGGGCTGATGGTGCTGTGCTCCCTTGTGCTGGTGTCTGTGCTCCTGTTTGCCTGGCTTCTCCTCCACAAGCCCAAGTGCCTGCAGAAGGGGATTGTTTAGGAAGAACCTGAAGGGGAGAGGAGCCGTGTCATCCTGGTTGCTCAGGGCTAGGAGACCCCAGCAGAGCAGGCTGTACTGCAGAGTCCCTCTCACTGAAGCTTTTGACTGTACAACAAGGGCATTTATTTCTTCTGAATCACACTTGCACTGACAGACGTTGGGACATCAGGCTCGCCACCTTCTCTGCCAAGGACAGACAAGCTCCTGTCCCCTCCTTGAATGGGTCGTACTTTCATTCAAGGAAACTTTGCTGCTTGTTGGTTTCTGCCTTGTGCACAGCATTATAAAGAGAAAAGTGGCAGCAATCTTTGGGAGCCAGTGCTCCTGCAAGGGTTATCTCAGGGTCACACATCCCACTGAGCTCTTGGGAGCTATCACGTACAGGGTGATCCTGCTCCTTCTCTGCTGAAGCTGTTCCCAAGAGCCCTTTCTGCACCAGCACACCTCTGCTCACCTCCCTGCGCCCTGAGCTCTAGCAGCCCTACAGCTGGGTACAGCTCTTGCACCTGGCTGGCCCCTGAAGGTGGGTCAGGCTCTCAAAGGCCACTCTGGGAAAAGAAGGGATGAGGAGGAAGAAGCTGAGCGTGCTTGTGGTCATCAGCCCTTAGCTGGGCTCTGTCGGCTGTCAGCTCCTTTTGCAGGTGGCAAAATGCCTTTTTCCCACATCTTCCTGATGTTGTTGCCGGACCAAAGCTGGCTCACTGTTGCACTGAGCCATTCCCATGTCCCTAAGGTACATCAAGCCACAAGTTCCCAAACAGGCATTGCTGCTTTTTATAGGAAGAGCTTGTGTTGGCCCAGGTTCCTTGGCCAGTAGTGATTGTCTGTGCCTGCAGGGACTCTGGTGGGATCAGTGTGCCCTCAGGTATAACCCACTAAAGCAATCCAGGGTCACTGTGCTGGTAACACAGCAGCCTCCAGTCTAGGGAAAGTGTTTATTAGTTAATGCTCCTGTAGGCAGCTGGCAGCAGTTAAACAGCATGAGTATGCACAGATTGAACCACTCTTTCCACCAGCAAAATTAGTGAAGATTTGCCTTTTCTTTCCTCATAGCACAGGCTTATCCTATGGCCACAAGACCCAGGGCTTGTGAGTGCACATACTGCAGCCCACACAAGTAGGACGATGCCACTGATTGAGTTTATTATTACTTTCTTCCATGTTTTCATTTCTTGGTCCAAAAAAAGAGAGGTAAGTCAGAAATCCATTTTTGTAAAAACACTCAGAAACCACTGGTGCCTGTCTACCTCCCACAAAATCTCAGAAATCTCTTCTCCTAATGACCTGTAAATGTGGAGGCAAAAAGAAAGCAGATACTGTAGAGGGGAAGGCATAGCAAAGACAGATCTCTTTCCCCAAGCAGAGGTGTAGGCAGTGTGGAGGGGGTCAGGATTTGCAACCCCAACAATGCCTTCTCCTTTAGGCAAGCACAGAAACAGAGCTCTCCCTGTCTGTCCCTCTGCATAGTCCAGGCCAGAAAATGTCACCCAGTTATTTCTATTTCATGCCTGAAAGCAGAAGCCCTAATATATTGAAGGTCCTAAAGGTAAGGGAAAAATCTACCATGTCCTAAGATCTTTGGGCAGATCATTGTTCTTCCAAAAACCTGTGTCGTATTTTTGCTCTGAACTAGGTGGCTTCAGCTTCTGTTGGATCTTGTTCTGCCCATTTCCAAAAGACTGAGTAACTCTGCTATTAAAATCCCTTTTTCCTCAGTGGTGCTTGCAAGTTGTCATTCTATCATATTAAATAGATTGGTTTTCAATCTGTAAAGTGGTCTCTGCATGTCACTTGTGGCTCTCAACTCCACTTCTTTTAAAAATTTTACATCTTTCTGAAACCTGGACACCAAAGTTTTCAGCAGGTAGTGGAGTCACTAATAGTGTATATATCTGGTTTTGATCTATGCTTTATGTAACCCTTTCATATATCTCTGGTCCAGGTCTGTTCACATAACAGAAAATTTTTAGGCTTTTGAGTCTAGCTGGACTATTACAACTTTTTTCCCAGTCATGGCATTTCAGAACAGACTCTGTCTCACATCCTATATCAGTGTCTCTCAATATGAGCCATTTTTCCTTCTGTGTGGCTCCACTGAAACACATATTATTCAAAGAATATTGCCCCAAGCAGATTATCCAGTTCAATCTGCAAATGACCTTTCACCAGCTGTGAGTCTGCTGACCAGTTTTTGTTTATCTGCAAATACACTGCAATGTCAGAATTCAGCTAGGGATGCAGCCTTCCTTCTGTTGTTTGCAGCAAAGACAGGTAGATGAGAGATGAGCAGCAGGTTTTGGCCATGGAAGGCATGCAGGAGAAACGTGTGATCAGAGCTGCTTGTGCTGCCCAGACACCTCATCTGCAGCACGCCCCAACCATCACATGCCACCTTCCTTGCATACAGAGCCTTTGTAGCAGAGCAGAGGCCCCAGAGAAGCTCCCAGGTGAGCTGGTGCATCCGTCCTTCCCGTGAACAACTTGGCAACCTGCAGAGTGGCAGCTCCTCTCCAGAGACCTCCTTGGGGATCTGGCAGCTGCTCAGTTGTGTCCATGATGAGAACTGGCAGATCCATCAGGACATGTCAGAAATTGATGCAAAAACTTCATGTGGAAGTTGGAGTGGAAAGAAAGCTTGTTCTAGTCTGCTCTTCTTGTCCTTGCTAAGGATTTATGTGAAAGGAAAATGACAAATATCTGGGAGAAGAGCTTTTACAGTATTTTGTATCTTCATCGCAAGCCCCATAGCATTAATACTGTTAGCTCCTGATTCTGGAGCCAGGTGAGCAACTGGCATCTTCACTTACTCCTCCTGTCTTAATTATCTCACTTTTTGGCTTGAGTTTTGGGGGGTTTTAAGCTTTAAATATGACTTGAGTGCAACAAAAGGGCCCGAACTAAGATAAATGCAAAATATGTTACAATATTTTTAAACCTTATGACTTTGAGACCCCATTCATAATTCAATCTCTACAGGATAAGAACTTCTAAGGTGACAACATGCCAGTTGAGCAGCCTGAGGCTCCAGGAATTGGTTGACTGAAGGCATCCTGTCAGGGTCATGTCACTGCCTGGTAGTGAACATTCACAGAACGACCTATGATTGTTTTCTCTACATTTCTCCTGTTATTGCAGGACTTTATTCATGGAGGCTACTCAAAATCCTGGGTCAAAGAGCTCAAGTTTATGAACATTCATTTCTTTGCTTCTTGTTGCATCTGATCCAGCTGTATTCAACTCAAATGTGTGTTCCAGAGCCACCCAACATGTACATGAAGACCATTAATGATACTGGAGGGAGTTTCCAAATATGCCAATAATAATGTATAATTTCTCTTGTTAATACAGTTGATCTGCCTCAGTGATAATTATCTATGCCTTATTTCTAATTTGATAGCTTCTGGCTTTCATTTCTAGACACTTCCTGCTTTACCAATTTGCTTTTCCTGGGTAAAAAGCATCTTTTGACATCACATGTTCCTGTCTCACATACTTACTCACTATTCAGCTCTGCTGCACTGCCAAGACTCTAGACCTTGGTCTCTCCTGAAGAGAGAGTTCTCCTGGGCTCCTAGGAAGCTCTGAGATGTGCTGCAGCAAGGTGGGATGAGCGTCTCTGCTTTGGGTTCAAATGTTGATTGGTCCATTTTTGGGGAGATTCCTTGCAGAAGAAGTTGATAGCTTTGCAGGGTGCAAGAGCAGCCTGGTCTCACTGGGACTGATGACCTCTATGAGCTCTGCTATATTTAGCCGAGTGTCAAGTGTGGGGCAAAACTATTGGAACTTGTCACAAGAGAGCCTGGATACCTGCAGCATCCTCACCTCTTGCAGGAAAACTGTTCCCCACCACAGGCTAGGTACCTTTCACTCTTCTCCCTCATAAAGCTGCCTCTCCTCTGTGCACAGGCTACAGCAGATTTCTCCAGCCCTACAGCAAAGCACAGTGGGGCCTCCACTTGGAAGAAAGCTCTCAGAAGTGAGGCCATCACCTCTGCACTGGAAGGCTGATTTGAAGTGTTGGCACTGGCCAGGGCTTTCCAGTTTCTCCCAGAGCAGTTCTGGGCCGGATGTGTGCCCCTTCACTCTCCACCCCAATTCTTCCCATGCTCTGTGCCAGGCAGGATGTGCAGGCTCTGCAGGGCTGCCAGCTTTGTCACAGGCTCAACAGCCTGTTCAGGAGGGACTGGGGAGAGCACACAGCCCCTGCCACCCAGGCCATGTGTTTTCTTTCCGTGGCCCAACCCTGAAGAAATGGATCTTTGTTTTGATGCACACACAAGCCTCTGTATGCTTATCATAATAAAGACTTCTGAACTGATGCCAGAAAAGTTTTCATGCTGTATTCCAGAGATGGGAGTTTGCCAGTAGTGGAATGGAGTTTCTGGCACTAAACATGGAAAAGTCCTGAGATGTGATTTCCTCTCTTGCCAGTTCCTTGATGCTCTCCTAGGTCAGCTCTGAAGTTCCTGGTGTATGGGTAGCATCCCCTCCTGGAAGAGAAATGCACCGTGGTTTTTCCCAGGCTCTGGGCACCTCACACAGGTTCCCTCACTCCTGGGAAGGCCGCTAGTGCTGAAACCACATGTTTCTTTGTCTTAGCTTCATTTTGACCTGCTCAAAGCAGTTTGCTCTCCCAAGCTGTGAACTGGACAGAAGCAGTCCTCTGTTCTCAGTTTCCCTCTCCCTCCCCCAGGCAGCCCCATTGGCATCATGCTGGCACTGCAGCCCACCTTCCCAGCCCTGCAGACAGGTGAAGGACAGTGGGCCTGTGCCCCTTGCTCACAGGGCTGCGTGTCTCCATGTGCAGCCACAGCCACAGTCTGCCAAAGCAAACAATGCTTGTCACAGTTGTTATTTTTCTTTCAGCATGAACTCCCCACAGCTCTCTCATTCTTATGGCTATTAGCTTCAACTTTCCTCAAATTTTCCAATCTTCCTCTGTTAACAATATGGCCAGAACTAAAGTGAGCCCATCAGTCTTTCCGTGGTCAGTTCCAGCAGAATCGGCTCCTTGCCGCCTGTGCCCATCAGCAATGCAAAGGTGGGGAGGCAGGGCTTGTATTCACATTCCTCTCACTCTCACCACAGTGGCACAGAGCATTCTTTCTCCCCTTCTTTCTCCCACTGCCTCCAGGTCTCTCCATTTTTGAACATCTGGGTGGGGGGTGGGGGAGTGTATGATGCATCCCAGATGTATTAGCCATATTTTCCAAATGAAGTTTTTATTTGCTTCCTTCACTGTTTCTAGGTCCTAATGTCTTCTATTGTTTGTTTCTGCTTTCATCAGTGTTTTCAAACATGTCCAAATTTATTATTGTCATTTTCCTAGAATGTATAAAGGCCATGCTAGGTCATATCAAGCAGGCAATGCATTGGCACTTGTCTCCAGCTGTGTGGTGGGTGATGCTTTAGAGGGACAGTTAGGGAAACAGCATAATCCTTTTCTTCTACCCATCAGGGGCTTAGGAAATTTGTGATCAAATGATTACTTCAAGATCTGATAACTGTAGGTGACCCTGTTCTCTATGAATTCATCTTATCCTCTTTTGCAGTCATTTAACTTTCAGTTTTGATTATGTAATTTCATGGTGTCTTTTGTGAAAAACTTTCCTTTTGTATGCTTTAAACCTGCTGCCTGATAACAGGCTGCCTCCATGCCTGTGCTATGGATAACGCTGACTAACTCTCCAGACCTAGTAGCGTGTGAGATGTGTTCTCCACCCACACGAGATTTTGCCCATGGCTCCTTTTTAGGTTCTAATGCTCTGGCATTTCTTTTTTTACTGTTGTTTCTCACATCAGTGTTGCTTGCCTCCATAGGAAAGCGAGAGCTTTCCTCATGTGTCCCTTGGCAGCACTGCAGTTCCAACTCTGCCACTACTGTCCCAGGCTACTGAAAGCAGCCTAGGAAGGAAAAGGGGAGGGTGAAACTGGCCAAACATGGGGCTTGCACTATTTTACTATAGCCCTGCCTAGCAATCTCTGGCTGCCAAGTAACACTGGGTAGTGCTGGAAACCTGCCATCAACTCTTTCACATGGCCTTCATTGCTGAAGCCTGGGGAAAGAGCAGCTCCACGGGAACCCAGCAGCCCTGGGAGCAGAGATGTAAAGGAGGTGAAGGCATTTCCCACTGCTGTTGTGGGCTGCCGGGTTTGCAAAATACCACCAGACATGTCTTGCTGTAGAGATAAGAATTGTCCTACCACACCCATGCTCTCCTTGCCACAGCTTCAGCTACTTTGCCTTGGCTTCTGGCATGTGCTGGGAGAAGCTATTCCCTCCAGCACTGACTCTTGCTAGCTAGCTACAGATGGGTGCAATGCCATTCCTGCTGCTGAACGAGTGTTGCTTTCAGACTAGCTGACAAGCAGGGATATGGGGGCATGATGCTTACCTAGGAGAAGGTACCAATATGGTTACTGCTATCTCTATGTATGTATCATATTTTTCATTTTATGTTAATGTCTTCAAAAGGATATTTTTGGGGTTAAGAGGAAACCGTGTAGGTGGGGCAGAAGACCAAGAAGGCAAAGGGTCAAGGAGAGAAATGGCCACTATGATGATGCTGGGAATGTTGGATATGAGAAAGTCTGAATAAGCCAAGCCATGAGCAGGCAATCCATGCACCTTGACCACCAGCCTGTACTGTTTGCATCAGAGGCTATCAACAGCAGCTAGAGGCTATAAACAGGGACTCCCTGGTTTTACCCCTGCTTTTCCTGGAAAATTGAGCTAGAAAGACAGCACCCCAAGAAGACATGAAAAACAGGTAGGAAAGCACTGGGAGAGAATGCTTTGCTGGATCAAGCAACCCTTGACACAGAAATTAGAGCAATGCATCACAGATCCACCTCAAGGCTGGAGGGAAAGCAAATGTTTGGTATGGCACTGAGTATCCTGGGCAGCCCATTATTGATGGCCAGAGGAGCTTCTCTCTAGCATGGCCCGGATAGAGCAGAATAACCTGTTCATGTTATCAAAGGGAGCCTTTCTCTTGGCCTGCCCCATGATGGTAAATTTTTCAGTTGTTTGTGTTCATATTTGGTCTCTGTGTCAGGGTTGTCCTAGTAAATACCTCTGTCAGAGCCACTAGGCTGCTGGAGTTTAGCCTTGTGGGGCAAGGCTGCCTCTGGCAGCGGGCAGAGCGGGGACCATGAGGTGTCTGCTGCCCACTGGGATAAGCAGAGGGGTGGAGAGGAACCAGCTTCCCCTGTAGCCACTAAGAGTTTGCAGCCCTTTGTTAGCAAACAGCGGGACATTATAATTTGTCTTTGCACAGTTAAGCAATGTCCTCCTGCCCAGCGCCTGTCAGAACTCTTTCTCATGCCCCCTTCCAGAGCAGGGTGGGGTAATACCAGACCGTCCCAGCGGAGCTCTCCGTGATGGCTCCTGCTCGGCAGACAACATCCCCCGCTGCTCTGCCCTCCCCCTGCACCGTCCCGGATCGGCAGTTCGGGCAGCCAGCTGTGGCGAGGGCGATGCAGTCCCTGCCCCTGTTTATCCCGGGAGCAATGGGATCGCCGGGCCGGGCAGAGGGGCCGACTGGCCCGAGCAGCCCGCGGCGGTGCCTCCTCCGCTTCCCCAGGAGAGGGGGCAGGAGAGGAGGCGCGGTCCGGGACCGGCTCCGGGGAGGAGCGGCGGGAGCTGCCCGCGCCGGGCAGGGCTGCGGGAACCGTGCGGGCAGCGGGGCCGCCCCGGCGCTGTCCCCATCCCCCCGGCTCTGCCCCAGGAGAAGGCTCGGTGAGGGGCAGCCCCCCGCCCGCCGGCCCCTCTCCTCTCTTTCCCCCCGCCCGCCGCTCCCCGAGCGCTTGGCAGCCCCGACGCCCTCCGCAGCCAGTTTTCCAGCCCTGCGCTTCTTCTGCGGTGACAGCCAGTGGCTGCGGGGCCCTGTTTGCTGTCCAGTTAATAAGTGAGCTGGAGCGGGGAAAACTTCTGGGCCGAAGGAGCGCGGTCTCGCCGGGGGCCGGGCGGGCGGGCGGGGGGAGCATTCCTGCGCCGCGGGGCCCCGGCGCGCCCGCTCCCGCCGCCCCCCGCCCGCAGGTGCAGGGGGCTGGCACTCGGCAGCTGGAAAGAGCTGGTTGGAGTTTGCACTTTAAGCTCCCGGCGGGGAGGGAGCCGAGGCGGGGAGCTGGTCCGGGCGCCCAGCGCCGCGGGAGGATGGCGCGGTGGCTGCGGCCCCTGGTGGGAGCCCTGCTCCTGCTCGAGGGGGCGGCCGCCCTCAGCTTCCTCCACCATCGCTACGAGGAGCTGGTGCAGGCCCTGTTCCGCGTGCAGAGCCAGTGCCCCTACGTCACCCGCATCTACAGCATCGGCCGCAGCGTCGAGGGCCGGCACCTCTACGTGCTGGAGTTCAGCGACTACCCGGGCATCCACGAGCCCCGTGAGTACGGGGGAAGGGGACAGCGGCTGCCTTCGCTGGCACGCTGCTGCCACGCGGCGCCGCCGGGGCGCTGGGCGGGGGTGTCTCCCTTTCCAGGCAGGACTCCCGGCAGTGCCCAGGTGCCGGGCAGCACGGTGTCCGGCAGGGACCCCGCAGCCAGCCCAGGGACGGCTCTCCCAGCCCGCACACATGCACCGTGCATGCCCTGTGCTTGCGTGAGCTGCGGCGTGGCCCGGGCGCGTACTTTGGACGGAGCTCCGAGTTTTCAAATCAATCTAATGCGAGAACGCAGGCGAGTCCATCCCAGCACCCCGCCTGCCCTACCGCACTCTCCCTCCCAAAATCGTGTTGTTCAGGCGAGGAGAGCAGCACCCACCCTCTGCCCTGTGCTGCTGGGTGGTGACAGGACAGAAAGTGTTCGGCCCTTCCTCCTCCAGAAGGCAAAGCCAGGACAGCAAGCGGGGACCCCGGCGGAGAGGGCGCTGGGCTTCCACAGCCCTCCCGGCCCCGTGGGCAGCGCGGCCCCACGACAGGCTGGTCTCGGGGATCTCCACCTGCTGCCACGTGGCCCTGCGGAGCCTTGGCAGCAATGGCCCCTTGAGCTGCTGCCTGTGCTGCTTGGAGATGCTGCCGAGCCAGACCTTGCTGGCAGCCAGGTGCCATGGGGGGGCTGAGGAGAGCAGCTGCCTCTCCAGGCTGGGGGGCTGCACACAGGGCTCCCTCGCATCCCTGCCTTGTGTCCCTGAGCTGCAGATAAGGACAGAGCTGTCTGCAGGATCTTTTCCCTTTTCAAGTCGGGGTTGATGTGGTTAAACGCAGGGGCTGGTAAGTGCAGGCAGCCTAGTCACATGGAAAGCTGCCTGCAGGGCTGCAGGGGTGTGCAGAACCTGTGCCCCCCTCAGTGGAGCAGCCCCCACAAATCCCACAGCACTCCATG